ATCTGAAGACTGTAACAGTTGATTTCTGTGAGCCATGTGTTCTTGGTAAACAGAAGAAAGTTACTTTCGTGAAGACTGGTCGTCCACCCAAGTCTGGGAAGTTGGAGCTAGTACATTCAGATGTTTATGGTCCCACTACAGTTTCTTCAATGGGAGGATCCCGGTATTATGTTACTTTCATTGACGACTGCACAAGGAAAGTTTGGGTTTATTTCTTGAAACATAAGTCTGAAGTTTTCAGTACTTTCAAGAAATGGAAAGCTATTGTTGAGAATGAAACTAACTTGAAGATCAAGTGTTTCAGATCTGATAATGGGGGTGAATACAGTAGCAAAGAATTTGTTGATTACTGTGCTGACCAAGGAATCAGAATGCAGAAGACGGTTCCGGAGACACCTCAGCAGAATGGAGTTGCTGAGAGGATGAACTGAACGTTAAACGAAAGGGCGAAGAGCATGAGACTACATGCAGGCTTGCCCAAGATGTTCTGGGCAGATTCAGTCAACACAGCCGCATATCTAATCAAAAGAGGACCCTCAGTCCCCCTAGGGTTCAAAATTCCAGAAGAAGAATGGAGTGGTCGTGAGGTTTCACTCAGGCACTTGAAAGTTTTCGGTTGTGTCTCATATGTGAAGGTGAAAGATTCTGAAAGAGACAAGCTAGAAGCGAAGGCAAGAAAGTGTACCTTTATTGGCTATGGCTTGGATGACATGGGGTACCGCTTCTGGGATAACGAGACAAAGAAGGTTATCAGAAGTCGGGATGTAGTGTTCAACGAGAATGCTCTATACAAGGATGAACTTGCAGCAAGCTCTAACAGAAAGAAGCAACCAGAGAAAACAAAGAGTCAAGTCGAATTTGAAGAAATCTCTGAAGACGACGTAGTAAGACCTATCAGTACTCCGGAGATAGGTGAAAGTTTAGGAAGCAGTGGGAGCTCTGATAATATTGGAGATAGTGGGAGCGAAGAAGACAGTAGTTTTGAAGAAGAAGTCGAAGAAGGTGTAGGGACTAGAACTCCTACTGTCAGGAGATCCACTAGACCAAGAAAGGCTCCAAACAAGTATTCTCCTTCAGCAAATTACTTATTGCTAACAGAGAATGGTGAACCTGAGTCTTATCCATAGGCCTTAAGGATGAAAGATTCCATACAGTGGAAAAGGGCTATGGAAGACGAGTTGAGCTCACTTGACCAGAACCACACTTGGTCCTTGGTCAAGCTCCCAGCAGGGAAGAAAGCATTGCAGAACAAATGGGTGTTTCGGGTCAAAGATGAGATTGATGGCAGTAAAAGATACAAGGCCAGGTTGGTGGTAAAAGGCTTCCAACAGAAGAGGGGTGTTGATTACAATGAGATCTTCTCTCCAGTTGTGAAGATGACTACAATCAGAATGGTCTTGGGTATTGTAGCCTCTGAAGATCTCCATCTAGAGCAGCTAGATGTGAAAACAGTTTTTCTTCATGGTGACCTGGAAGAAGACATCTACATGGCACAACCAGAGGGTTTCCCAATAGTTGGCAAGGAAAACCTGGTGTGCAAGTTAAAGAAAAGTCTGTATGGATTGAAGCAAGCTCCAAGACAGTGGTACTTGAAGTTTGATAGCTTTATGCAGAGGAGTGGGTATCACAGATGTGAGATGGATCACTGTTGCTACTTGAAGAAATTCAACTCCTCTTACATCATCCTGTTATTATATGTTGATGACATATTGATCGCTGGATCCGACATGTAGGAGATCGACAAGCTTAAGAAGCAGTTGTCCAGAGAGTTCGAGATGAAGGACTTAGGGGCTGCTAAGCAAATATTGGGCATGAGCATAGCCAGGGACAGAGTTACCGGTACACTAAAACTTTCTCAATCTAAGTACATCAAGAGAGTTTTAGAAAAGTTCAGCATGGCAGATGCTAAAGTAAGAAGTACGCCTTTGGGAAGTCAGAAACTCTCAAAGAAGCAATCCCCAAAGACGGAAGAAGACAAAGAACAGATGGCCAAAGTTCCCTACGCATCTGCGGTAGGTAGCTTGATGTATGCAATGGTCTGCACCAGACCAGATATTGCTCAAGCAGTGGGAGTTGTGAGCAGGTTCATGTCGAATCCAGGAAAAGAGCATTGGGAAGGAGTAAAGTGGTTGTTACGCTACTTGAAAGGAACAGTTGAGGTTGCCCTATGTTACAGAATAAAGGGGGTGGTCTTAAAAAGGGTTCGCCGATGCAAATTTGGGTGGATGTGAGGATTCGGGTAAAAGCACAACAGGTTATGTGTTTACAATCGGAGGTACGACAATCAGTTGGATGTCCAGGTTACAAAAGAGTGTTGCTCTTTCAACCACAGAAGCAGAATACATGGCTATTGCAGAAGCGGCCAAGGAGCTTATATGGTTGAAAACGTTCTTATTAGAACTTGGATTTCAACAGGAGGATTGTGTACTGCATTGTGACAACCAAAGTGCAGTTCACCTAGCTAAGAATCCGGTGTTTCACAGTAGAACGAAACACATTCAGATGAGGTACCATTTCATTCGAGAGTTAATCAGTAATGGAACTCTACATCTGAAGAAAATCCTTGGAATGAAGAATCCAGCAGATATGTTCACCAAGGTGGTTACCACTGAGAAGTTGAAGTTGTGCATGACTTCAACTGGCCTTCCAGAAGTTTGAGGAGGAAGGCATGGCAGATAACGAGAGAGAGTGTGTGTGTGTTGCAAGAGCTGGATGATAGAGAAGACTGTATGGTTCAAGTCTCCAAGTGGGAGATTGTTGAGTTAATTGGTGGAGACTCACCATTGTCTCCCACCTACTCCTCTTTCCATAAATTACTCCTTGATTTGCTCCACTAATTTCTCCTATTTATTCCTTTTCATCTACTATAAAAGGAAGCATATGTTGAAGGGAAAAGATGCACCAAAACACAACAAAAACATATATAAGAGTCAAGTAACTTCTCTTATATATCCAGTAGAAATAGTGAGGTAGCCTTTTGTGCAGAGCCTTTAATTCGGCAGCCAAAAGCACGAGTGATACCTTATACTGAGTGATCAAATTACAAGTGCAGTTTAGCCTTGTATGATTGTAATTTTCTCTGGAGATAATAAAATCCTCTCTCTCTCTCGTTGGCCCATGGACGTAGGTCAGATTAGACCGAACCACGTTAAATATTGTGTTCTGAAATTTTTTATTGTCTATTATTCCCAACATTGGATACATTTGCAAAATCACTTTCTTGCATAAAAAAGAAACAATCGTTATATATAATGAATTCTCTAATTTTTCAAAGCTAGCATATCTATATTCCACGATAACCTTATTTTGGTTAATTTCGATTCAATCATTATATTAGAGAGTTATATTAGAATGAGAGTATCTTCTTATTTCTTTGTAGATGATTAATGTAAATTATTTTATGTTAATAATGAAATTAATATACGAATGTTAATAATCAAATTTAATTATTTATAAAATTGATTGATCATTCAAGTTGGATAGAACAAACCACAAAATTATGGACTCGTGATTTCAGGTTAATCATAACATATATACAAAAATCCAACAAACTTTATGTGTAATGGAGCTAAATTATATGTTTAAATTGGAAGGAGAATTAACTTACATAGAAATATTAGGTGGAAAAAGAAGGAACGAATCGGTTGTATTTATTCTAAAATTTAATACAATGAATCTACTTACATATATATATATATATAAACCTTGTTAAAATGTGAATTTTAAATTTATGAAATTAGAAAACACAAGAAAATGTCAAAGTGGAAAATTTTTAAAATCCTAGAAAATGACACGTGGCAAATTTAAGGAGAACATGACATTTGTCAAAAATTATTTTTATTTATTAGGTTTTATTTCTAATAACTTTAATTAAGATTTTCAAGATCGAGATTTTAGCTAATATCATTTTATGTTTTCCAAGATTTTTGATCATAAGATTAGATCGAATTGAAATCGAAAAATTCTACTAAAATAAATTAGTCTTTAAACTTGTTTGTAAAGTCTTGTTTGTGAGGTATCTCATTTTAAAAAGAAATTAAATATTCTCCTACTTTTTCTTCCTACTTATCTTTCTATTCCTATGAAATGATAATAAATATTATATTTTTAATAAATTAATAATTTTTTAAGAAACTTATCATTATTTTATATCGGTATGAAAATAATTAGGAAGAAAAGTAAAATGATATTTAATTTCTCCATTTAAAATAGATGTTGGTTAAGACATCGATAATAGAATTCATTTTAACGTATTAACAATAATTCCTCTTGGTTCAAATCATCATAGTTAGAAAGAAAACATATTAAGCAGAAAAAGAAACAATATTATATTTACCATGTGCCACACAACAATGTCATGATACTCTTTTTAATTCAAGATGAATCGATGATGTTCTATAACACTTCTTGCAACATGAGATGTATGATTTCAAAGTTAAATGAATAAATTTTGAGGCTCAACAATATAATAATAATTAATAAATACTAAAGTGGTAAGATGAAATGAGCACAAAACTTTAAAATCTTAAAAGGGGTCTTAAGATCCCAATATAGATCTTTAAGATAAATCCAAGTATGATTGATATAATTTTTGGGCTTGTATGATTTGAAGATCTTACCAATTTAACACCATCTATTTCGCTTTCATTTTTATTATTTATTTCTTTTTCTTTTGAGTATGAGGATTTTAAATAGTTCTGCAAAAGGATTATTTGGGTAATATTTTTTGTTAATGTAATTCAGTAATAACAAATATTTTATTATTGTTATAGCTATGTCGTTCAAACTATATGAAAAAGTTCAATTATTCAACTTTTAGTATTTATTTTATTACTATGAAAACATTAAATTATATTAAAGAGGACATATGGAAACGTCGACAGTTCATTTATGTTTTCCCACTAACTTGTCACCTTTCAAATTATATACCTAACATTGCCTCTTTGGCTCTATTTCAGATCTATTGAGATGACTTTGTTTTTTATAATAAAGCGTTGACGATGACTTACAGACATAGTCCATCAAGTTCTGCATATATAAATCCATGTCTTTAACTCCTCATTCCTACTGTGCATTAATTCAGAGACATTCAAAAGGAAGCTATATGTGCAAATTTCTCTTAATTATGATGTGAATTAGCTTCAACCACACCAACTGCTATCTTCATGGTGTCTATTTTGGCTGCATATTACTAATATATGAGTATGCAGGTGGAGTAAGTAAGAACTCCCAGAAATGAACCCCACAAACACAACGGCCAATGGAGGTGCAACACCACGACCACAACCAACAAGAACAAAAACAATAATTCGGAACCTACCTATTCGAGATCTACTTGGTAAACTTTTATATATGCCATTATGTGTTTACTTATCATTATTAATCATTTGAATAGTGCTACACATTAATTAATTGAGAGCAACCAAAATAGCAGGGTTTTTTTAATAGGAATTTTCTTCATGGAAAATACTAAAATGAAAAAACTCATTATATCCCCATAAAAGATGATTTTTTTTTTTTTTTTGAATATTTATGTGTTACTTTAAGTCGTCTCTTTATAACTGGTTTAAATTCTATGAGAACGACCACAATCATCGAAAAGGCTCACGGCAGGAACTTGTAAATTTATAAGTGTATTGAAAAAGCTTTTGTTTAATTTAAAATTTTCTCCAATAAGTTTTTCAATTTTTAAAGATTGTTTGTTTTGAAAAATTTCTTTTAAACAATAACAACATTACCCCATTAATCTGATACAAATCGGTTTAAGACCAAGAGGGATACCACCACTACACTCACTAAATCTTGATGATAAACACCCTTTATTAGCTAGTTTGGACCTTATTACAAGGCCGAAGATCGTAGAAATGATGTTTTTTTGGAGATTTAATAAAAAAAAAAAAACTAAATACAATGGGCTTAGTGTTCATGTGGTCGAAAAAAGATGCCTAATTGTCAACTCTTAATTAACATCGGTTTTGTTACTTAATAGGAAATAGAGCGCAGTACCTCAGCATTTGCGTTCCTCTCTATAATGCATCAATCAATGGTGATTGGGAAGCTGCTCAAATCATTCTTGATAAACATCAATATCTAGATCTGGTAGGATATGCTATAAGTGAAAACTATGATACTGCACTTCACATTGCAGCATCTGCGAAATGCAGTAAACAGATAGAAAAGTTTGTAGAAAATCTGGTGAACAAGATGACAAGGGAACAGTTAGAACTCAAGAATGATAATGACAATACTGCATTTTGTTTAGCAGCAGCTGCGGGAAATGTCAAAACTGTTATGACTATGTTGGAAAAGAACGGGACCCTTGGGGATATCACTGGTAGTAATGGAATGATGCCACTCTATATGGCATCATTATTTGGAAAACATGAAATGGTGAATTATCTTTATGATAAATCTGGGGAGATGCATGGAGATTGTTGGACAGATAAGAATCGCAGTTGGGTTCTACAGAAATGCGTGGAAGCTGATCAATATGGTGTGTAGTTGTTGCTCCTTTCTTGTTGTTCTATAAATGTTTTCATATGTGCTTCTGTTAAAAAAAAGTTGTATGATATTTGTTGCGTTTGATGTAATACTTTCCCTGATTAAATGTTAAAACAAATTAATTATGTAGATATTGCATTGAAAATAGTGTCCCGATGGCCATTGCTAGCAAAAAGTGGGATTTTACTTGGAGTTTTGGCTCGAAAACCTGACGCATTTAAGGGGATAAAACCGCATTTTATCTGGCGAATCATATGTCCAAGTGAAAATCTCTACTCTTATATTTTGCTTATCAACTCATTTTTATCCACCTATTTGATTTCTTATTTGGTTGTGGGTTTCAGTTTTGGCGTTGATTCATGTGAAGGTTGGGCCTTCTGAAAAAGCAACTGATGCCATGGAATTACTAAAAATTATTTGGTCAGAAATTGTGAAATTATCCAAGGATGAAATCAGTGGTATTATCAGAGGGCCAGCTGACCTACCAACAAATAGTGGAAAGGAAAAGGAAGATGTCGAGCAACTTCTTGGGTCCATCTTGGAAAATGTTGCGAAGATGCCCACAAGAATTCATAACCTATGGAGTAGAAGGCAAGGTGATCAAGAAGTAAAAGGTGTAAATCAAACATTCTCTTCACGTGTACTATTTGTCGCTGCAGAGATGGGAAACACTGAATTTCTAGTGGAGCTAATTCGGCAATATCCAGATTTAATATGGAAGACAAATGATAACGAGCAAACTATATTTCATGTTGCTATCTCACATCGTCATGAGGGTATCTACAATCTTCTACATGAGATTGGCTCGATGAAAGATATGATAACACCTATGAAGGATCGGAAAGGAAATAATATGTTACATTTAGTTGGGAAGTGTGCAAAGAAAAAGAGACTTCAAGTAATTTCAGGGGTTGCTCTACAAATGCAACGAGAGTTGTTGTGGTTCAAGGTACTTCCTTCTTTTTAAGACATTAGCTCTCTCTTTACATCTCTGTACTTTCGTCTTTCATACAACTAGAAGTTATTATTACTGAAGTTGCTTCTACTCTATCATCCAAGAATAGCTACAATTGTTTTAAAATAGAAAGTTTCAAAGTGGACAAACCAAACAAAAGTGATTTAACCTTTCTTTTGTGTACGTAGGAAGTAGAAGGTATGATTCCTCCTTCTTATCGAGAAAGGAAGAACAATGATGGATTAACACCACATGAACTGTTCAGCAAGGAGCACAAAGATCTACTCTCTTCAGGTGAAAAGTGGATGAAAGAGACAGCTAGTCAAAGTATGGTGGTGGCAGCTCTTATAGCTACCATTGTTTTTGCAGCAGCGTTTACAGTTCCTGGTGGTTATAATCAAACTAATGGTGTTCCTATGTTCTTTCATAAAAGATCTTTCATAGTATTTGTCATATCGGATGCCATTTCTTTGACATTCTCGTCCGTTTCACTCCTAATATTTTTATCTATCCTCACATCTCGCTATGCTGAAGATGATTTCTTGGAATTATTACCCAAAAGGCTGATGAGAGGCCTTACAACACTCTTCTTTTCTATCGCAGCCATGATGGTCGCTTTTAGTGTTAGTTTTTTCGTCCTTTATCAAAACATGATATGGATACCTATTGTTATCAGTGCAATTGCTTCCATACCGGTTATTTTATATGCTAGACTTCAGTATGATCTTCTGGGGGATGTTTATAACTCAACGTATACTTCTAAGAATCTCTTCAAGCCAGAAAAGCTAAAGATTTACTATCAAAATCCAAAGCACTAATACCTTGTCGTTTAACTGTAACATTCATTTCAAGATGTACGATTGTTATGTCTTAGTTTGTATCTGTTGATAGTCTATATATATGATATGTGGACGATTAATATTTTTATTGCCAATTGTTATGGAAGGAATCAAACAAAAGCAATAAAACGACAAAAAAAATTTATGTAGTGTGATCGATTTGACATCGGTGTGGCTAGTGCTTGACAACGACAACTTTACTGGTCAGCACGAAGTCCATCTCGCCACACCACATAACCAAAAAAATGAAGAGAAAATTCGGAAAATAACCAAAAAATGAGATTGTTTTGAAGAAAATAACCAATGAAAATCAAATTTTGGAAAATGACCACAGGATCCGCAGAGCACCCTCTGCGGAACCATTAAATGCTCTGCGGATCCTCAACAGCTCTGCGGAATTGCTGTTTTTTTATTTTTTTAATTTTTTTTTTCGTTTTTTCGTTTTTTTTGCGTTCATTTTCGTTTATTAATATTAATATTTTTTTAAATACACTAATACCTTATGTGATTATGTAAATAATTTGACAAAAAAAAGTTAAAAATAATGAACTTATGTTTGATATCAGTCCACAGAACTCTTTGGGAATCCACCCTCTGCGGATCCAGCTACAGCTCTGCGGAATGTTGGTTTTTTAATTTTTTAATTTTTTTCGTTTTTTTTTTTTGCGTTCACTTTCGTTTATTAATATATTTTTTTTAAAATACACTTATACCTTATGTGATTATTATGTAAAAAATTTGACAAAAAAAAGGTTAAAAATAATGAAATGTTTTATGTAATACGTTTGCTACTGATGTATGTTTTTCATGTATTTGTACTGTTTTGTATTTTATGTTCTATGAAATAAAGTAAAAGTTAACTCTGGTTTTGTAAATAACCGGGATGGTTGATGAACCACATTGGAAGGATATTGATCAGGTTAGTATATATATATATATATATATATATATATATATATATATATATATATATATATATATATAAGAATAAGTGTACACCTCTGCGGAGCAGTACACACCTCTAAGGATCAGTGTATAGCTCTGCGGATCTGTGCACATCTCTAAGGATTAGTGTACACCTCTGCGGATCAGTGCACACCTCTAAGGATCAGTGTACAGCTCTGCGGATCAGTGCACACCTCTAAGGATCAGTGTACACCTCTGCGGATCAGTTCACACCTCTAAGGATCAGTGTACACCTTTGCGGATCAGTGCACACCTCTAAGGATCAATGTACACCTCTGCGGATCAGTTATAGAAGTTATAGACGTATTTAAGTGGTTATTTGTGAGTTTGTGAGTTTCAATTACTAGTAGAAGTTGTTTTTTCGTTGTGTTTGTAGAGAGTGATTTGTAAAATGAGTTTTATTATTTTGTGTACAGGAGGGTCGTGGCAGTTAGTTAATAGAGTTAAGGTTTATGTTAGAAATAATGTGAAAAACTATGGTTTAAATCTTCCTCCTAACATTGACCATGAAATGTTATTGCAAATGGTTAGAAGTAAGGCGGGTGTGTTAAACAGTCATATATGTTTGTCTTTTAAACACCCGGAGTTAGGGTATGTCATGGAGCTTGGAGATGAAACTGATGTATTTCAATTGAGATATGTAATGTCTGAATCAAAGAAGACAGTGCATTTGTATTTAACGGTGGTAGGTGAAGAAGATGAAGAACAAGCAGTGGTTAACAACCAGTTTCATCCAACAAAAACTAATAGAGGTCGTAGAGAAAGCCAATGTGACGGAAACCGTTCAAGGGGAAGAGGAAATAACACTTTTGTATCAGATAATGATAAAGAATCAAAAGTGGGCATGACTGAATTACAACGTGAAAATTTGTTCGAGTTTGGAGAAGTTCCTGAAATTGATGATCGAAGATGTGAGGAAAAATCAAATGAAGGGTGGTCGGATGATGAGTACACGCAACGAAAAACTGCTTTTAATCCATGGTATTGTATTCCTTCTATTCCTGATTGTCCAGAACCTATTCTTGAACCTGGACCGTTTCACAGTTTAGGTCCGAATGATAAATTAATTGTCCTACCACGAGGTATGATTATATCTCAGTCAAATTCCACGTGAGAATTGGACCAGAGCGTATTGCCCTACAACGAGGTATGATTATATGACCTCAAATAGTGCGGAGTCCATGAATGTTGTATCAAATAAAGCAAGGAAGTTGCCTATATTACCACTTCTTGAGTTCTTTCGCGCACTTATGTAGAAATGGTTTTACAAACAGCGGATGGCTGCAGGTATGATTATGTTTAATTTTAAATTATATGATAAATGTCATATATAATAATATATGTTTGTTTTAACAGAAAAAAGTAAAACAATACTAACGAAGTGGGCTGAAGATATGGTTAAAAAAATAAAGAGGGGATTCAAGGATGGTCGGTATCCGGTGTTGACAATACAACATATCAAGTGCATGACTTCAAAAGCGGCGGCATAGTGAATTTGAGGGAAAAGACTTGTTCTTGCAGATATTGGCAACTAACTGGTTTGCCATGTGGTCATGTGATAATGGTTTTAACGCACTTGAAAAATGATCATTGTAGGCATATGGCTATAGATGCTTATAAAATTGAAAAATATCGAAGAACGTACGAGCAGGTCGTATACCCTCTTTCAAAACTTAGTGATTGGGAGGTTCCAGATGACCTTATGGTTGTTAACCCTCCTGTGATGGAAATACGTCAATTTGGTAGACCAAAAAAACCAATCGTATTCCATCTCAAGGTGAGGAACCAAAAATAAGAAGGTGTACTAGATGCCATAGCACAACTCATAATGCAAGGACGTGTAAGGAAATCGTTCCAAAGAACCAAAGTAAAACTAAAAAACGTACCGGGACGTCAGGGAGTGGGACAAAAGCGACAGAAGAGGAACCGACGCAAGCGACCGAAAACCAATGGCAGCATGAGCCAGAGAACCAATTGACGCAACATACCAAACAACAATGGCAGCAGCAGCCAGACAACCAATGGACACAACAGACCGAACATCAATGGCAGCAGCATCCAGTCAACCAATGGACACAACAGACCGAACATCAATGGCAGCAGGATCCACATAACCAATGGGTGCAAGAGACCGAATACCAACCGCAGGAAGAGCCACAGAACCAATGGCAGGGTTGCACCGAGTACCAATGGCAGCAAGAGCCAGATAACCAATGGACGCAAGAGACAGTAAACCTAGGGACACAAGCAACAGATAACCCATTGACGGAATATGAAAACAGATCAAAGTTTCCGTGGTTCGATTCGAATGAATGAAGTTTATTTCAAAGTATGTTTATTATGAAGGTTGTATGTTTATGTTTTCTAAGGTATGTTTTGTAACCTATAAAAAACATGGAATATTTATATAATTTTAATTAGGTTATTTATATGCACCAATTTGTATTACGTTATTTATAAGTACAAATACATGAAAAGATACATAAGTAGCAAACGTATTACATAAAACATTTCATTATTTTTAACCTTTTTTTGTCAAATTTTTTACATAATAATCACATAAGGTATAAGTGTATTTAAAATAAAATAATATTAATAAACGAAAATGAAAGCAAAAAAACGAAAAAAAAATTAAAAAAATTAAAAAACCAACATTCCGCAAAGCTGTAGCTGGATCCGCAGAGGCTTTAATGGATCCGCAAAAGGTGGATTCCCAAAGAGTTCTGTGGACTGATATCAAACATAAGTTCATTATTTTTAACTTTTTTTGTCAAATTATTTACATAATCACATAAGGTATTAGTGTATTTAAAAAAAATTAATATTGATAAACAAAAATAAACGAAAAAAAAATTTAAAATCAAAAAACAGCAATTCCGCAGAGCTGTAGAGGATCCGCAGAGCATTTAATGGTTCCGCAGAGGGTGCTCTGCGGATCCTGTGGTCATTTTCCAAAATTTGATTTTTCCTTGGTTATTTTCTTCAAACCAATCTCATTTTTTGGTTATTGTCCGAATTTTCTCAAAAATGAACTTAACAATTAAACAAAACATTTAGCATTAACATAGAATTTGTTCCTATCACTACTAGAAACATGGGTTTTTGCGACGTATAAATCCGTCGCTATTCCGTCACTAAAGCTCTTTTGCGACGGATCTGTGGCAGACTTACTCCATAGCCAAATAAAACGTGGCTAATGACTTAGAGAGAGATTTAGCGATGGACTTGTTTTTCCTTGCGATGACTTTAGCAACGGAATATCCGTCGCAAATTGGTCCCTTAATACCGTTATTTAGGACATCAACAACAAAAATATTCCGTCGCTAATCCCTTGCAAACCTCTATATCTGTCTTTTTATATTCCGTCGCTGATCACTAGCAAATTTTAGATTTGATTTTTTTTTGTTTCCATAGCTGATCCCTCGCAAATATATAATACTAATTTTTTTTATTACAAATCTAAAACAAAAAATACTAAAAACATCAAATAATTATACAATCCCAAACTAAACAATAACAAATTAATACCAAAGGAATCAAATAATTATACAATCCAAACCAAACACTAATATTAAAATACCAAAATCAACTATCAAATCAAAACATCAAATATCAATGTTTACCAAACGATCAAAATCATCAAAGTACCATAATCTCAATTCCGTCTCATATTTTGCATTTCAACATACATATTCTCCATTGCTTCATATCTTGCATCCGAAAAAATGACCATAATGGAATTGGATTCCGATTCCCATGGAATTAGGCGAACCAAGTTCTACTTACTTTTTCCTGCAATGTAAGGAGACATTGTATTTGTTGGAAGCATGCTTTTCTGTTGATGATGGACATTATTGTCGACTCATTTGAAGCTAAACTAAATGCAGGACTAGAATGGAATTGAATTCCAATTCCGACCAAAAATTATATGAAAACACATGTTGGTGAAAGAAAATACTATGTTTGCATATTGGTCTTCAGAAATTTCTCTTTTGGGATTTGATCTTTGAACATTTGTATTGACCATTATAGACCATCCACTACACACCAAAACTAATAGCACATTAAGCATTTATAAAAATGGATGCACAATTTTTAATTAGGATAGAAAATTACAGAACTAACCTTATCAATACAGTTGTTGGTACCACCCAAGAGCTGTGGAAATCAAATGCTGACAAATAATAGTTATACTTGTCATTTTATAGTATTTTTGAAATAAATAGTATCCACATGTGACAAATAAAATAAAACTAGTAGCAGTAACTCACCTCTTGTAGTTCCCTGGTTCAAAGCATTTCCAAGAGAAAGAATTGTCTGCATGACTCTCCTCAACTTTACAGAACTAACAAGCTGATATAACCACCATCAACATATATAAAAAAAAGTAAAATGTAATCCAATCTTATTGTCACTGAATAACTGCATAATTAAAGTGACAGATAACTAATAACTTGCCTGTTCTACTGATAGATATACAATGCTTAACTTTTCCCTAAGTTCTGTAAACTAAATTTGCAAAAGAACAGTAAAGTTAGAATAATGTAAGTACAACAAAAGCAGGAAATTCCAAGAATAATATCTCCTGACATGTGCACTAAACTGTATCTTATATGAAAAAACTACAAGCTTTGCTTCTGAACGTGGAACTTTCATTAGCTCTAAGAAGAACTGTTACAATAAATCAGATATTAAAAATTTTGTGTTTTAATCCCCGAATTTATTGACATAATAATGATATAAATCCAGAAAAATATGTGTACTTGTTCACATTTTCCCAACATTTCAGGTTCTCCTTGATAAGCCTAAGCATATAAATAGTAAGTTACAGAAAAATGGTACTATTGTACTCTAATGTAAAATGTAAATACACCTGCTCAATATAAGGCTATCCACCTGCTCAATATTCATTGCTAATTCATCCAAATTAAGGACATGTTCCTGTTAAGTTTCACAACTCAAGAATTAAAAACAATTATCAGAAAACCTAATTTGTGATTAAATGCATAATGTTTGCAGCTTACCATCAATTCAGGCAATGGTGTCTTCACCTTTGAAAGCATTACTTCAGAGTAATATGCTCGCCTATGCTCAATCTGCAACAAGAGTGAAATATGAACAAATCTTCCATACAAAGATGTGTGAGGTCAAATATAAGTACATTTAAATATTCTGTATGCAATAAACAAGGAAAATAAATTATTACCAGTTGTACTTTTTCGGGTCCATTGGCTGCTTTGCATTTTGTTTTTAATGTCTTGTCAGAATTTGGATTTGATGCTGAGAAGAGTGTTTCAAGTTCTGACATATCAATCTCTCGGCTCAATGTCAATATGTCAAAAAAAAAAAAGACCCACTTTGCAGCTTCACCAGATTTTTCCTGCTTCAGCCCACAAGCTTCCTTTTCCTACTCCATTTATTTTTGACCAATGTAAAGGCTTAAGCTTTTTTCCTGGTTGACTTTTCACAGCAGTTACACCGCCTCCTTTTGAAGCTAATGGTGGAGGTGGTGGACCTGCACCACCTTCTTTTTGCATTCCCATTCTTTTCAAGTGTTATTTGACCCGCCATATCATCATATGACAAGGCTCCATTTTTCCTATACATAGTTTGACATCAGTATAGTCTACACAATTTTGTCTATAAAAAAAAACAGAGTTATGTAAAGAAGAAACCAACAAGTCTCCCCCAGCACATGAATTATGATGCATTAACCTGGAGATTTTTGTTTATTTATTTACATGAAAGATCACATACCCTCCACCTGTAAAAGAAGGACAAGATTGTGTCAAAAATTAATTTATAACTACCACCAATGTGTCTGTAATTGTAATAATTAACCATAACTTACACTTAACAGTGGAACTATATTATATGCATTGATTTTATATTCAGTATTTGTAAGGACATATTTGATATTGTTGTTGATCTATCAAATGTGAATATTTAACATGACAAATTCCCATATTAGAATTCACATGTGAATAATCAGCATATACAATGAGCTCACAATATCTTATGATTACTCTCATAGTTGTTCTTTCATATGTTACTGATCAATATACCCTAACATCCTCTAAAAAGATAATTGGTATTTCAAAACAAGAGACCGAATACCAACCGCAGGAAGAGCCACAGAACCAATGGCAGGGTTGCACCGAGTACCAATGGCAGCAAGAGCCAGATAACCAATGGACGCAAGAGACAGTAAACCTAGGGACACAAGCAACAGATAACCCATTGACGGAATATGAAAACAGATCAAAGTTTCCGTGGTTCGATTCGAATGAATGAAGTTTATTTCAAAGTATGTTTATTATGAAGGTTGTATGTTTATGTTTTCTAAGGTATGTTTTGTAACCTATAAAAAACATGGAATATTTATATAATTTTAATTAGGTTATTTATATGCACCAATTTGTATTACGTTATTTATAAGTACAAATACATGAAAAGATACATAAGTAGCAAACGTATTACATAAAACATTTCATTATTTTTAACCTTTTTTTGTCAAATTTTTTACATAATAATCACATAAGGTATAAGTGTATTTAAAATAAAATAATATTAATAAACGAAAATGAAAGCAAAAAAACGAAAAAAAAATTAAAAAAATTAAAAAACCAACATTCCGCAAAGCTGTAGCTGGATCCGCAGAGGCTTTAATGGATCCGCAAAAGGTGGATTCCCAAAGAGTTCTGTGGACTGATATCAAACATAAGTTCATTATTTTTAACTTTTTTTGTCAAATTATTTACATAATCACATAAGGTATTAGTGTATTTAAAAAAAATTAATATTGATAAACAAAAATAAACGAAAAAAAAATTTAAAATCAAAAAACAGCAATTCCGCAGAGCTGTAGAGGATCCGCAGAGCATTTAATGGTTCCGCAGAGGGTGCTCTGCGGATCCTGTGGTCATTTTCCAAAATTTGATTTTTCCTTGGTTATTTTCTTCAAACCAATCTCATTTTTTGGTTATTGTCCGAATTTTCTCAAAAATGAACTTAACAATTAAACAAAACATTTAGCATTAACATAGAATTTGTTATGAAGGACCAATAAGATCTCTCTCAATCAAAAGTGTTAAGGTGTACGGTAGAGTTGGTACCACTACAAATATGGCACACATTTTTTATGTCACTTAATTTTTGTACCCCTCTGATTTGTATTTGTATATATTTATATTTATATAATTAAAAAACAGGTCTTCGACTTCGTTGTGGTTTTTTCCCCAATCCCTATGGTAATTCCGTCATTCCTGCTTGTGTGTTTTGTCTTTTTATCTCGTCGACTGCCAAAAATAGGGAATATTGCCTTACTCAATCCCTACACAAAAACACAGAGTGTATGATCAATATTCTGCACTTTAAATTGAAATTACTATATTGATATATCCTTGCTTTTATTCTATTTCATACAGAAATGGCTTCAATTTCTTCGAGTCCTCATACAGTAGAAGAGATCGTTAAAGATTATAGTGGTCGTCATGGCGGGATAGTTTGTGCTTTAACTCATGGTAATTCAATTTGTAACCCTAACCCTAGTTTAAACCCCCAAAAACTTCCGATTTTCACTTACTAGTTTCTAAATATATATTTTTTCATTTATTTTTCTCAAATGTTGAAGAATTTTATGGCATTTGTGATCCACTTTCCCTTTTGAATAGTTCGACATATCATTTTTTTCTTAGTGGATTTCAAATTGCTTTCACCCACACATACCAACAGATATAGAATAATTTTTTATTTATTTATGCTCACACTAAAATTGCAATGAATAACAGTGCATGTTTGTTTCTATTCTAACTTGATAACTAGACTTAAAAATGGTAACTAAAAACCATCCAACTTTTGAAAAATATTATATAAACAATTCAAATTTTTGAAACTCATTCGGGCACAAAATCATATTACAGTTATTCAGTTAAGATTTTCCAAGAATATTATTTGAAATGTATAGTGGCTTTAGTAAAAGTTTTTTTTTTTTTAAAGAAATGTACATTACTATTTGTTGCAGTTATATGCTATACAATCAAATCCAGGTTTCTGGTGGTATTGAGAATTAAGTTTAATAAAGTTATCAAAGTTTAAAGAAAGTATTAACAAGTAATAATCTTTGGCCAATTTCAAGTTGAGAATTAGTCCACATGAACTAAAAACATACAATATTAAAAAAAAATTCATATTTCTGAGTTTTGACATGTGAAATTAAAGAAAATCCCCTTAAAGATCAAATAATTCCATTGAACTGAACTTGCTTGAGATCAACCTAACTGCATTATAATTTATTTAGGGATTGAAGTTGCAAATCTTTATTTTTAATATATAAGTAATTATGGTTTGTCTTTTTAGATATCAAAGTAACTTTGTGTTCGTACATTCAGGAAGGAAAAACCATGAGAGACATGAAAAGTGAAGATATGATCATGCAGAACAGAAGAAGCAGGACAAAGGGTAATGAAGAAGAGAAAGAGTGGATGGATCCATAAACTCAAATGAAGATTTCTCACAATGTAAGGTGGAAAATGGATGCATGATGGACATGTCATGATCATATCTATGAGATATATGTGTGTATGTATGTATTGACTGATGTATGATGGTATTTGTTTGTTGGGTTGGGTGACATGTGGCAATTGCAACAGCTGCCAAAGCAAAAGTTCTTTTCGGGAGCTGAAAAATAATGAAGGAGGATTTGGATTCTGCAAAAATAATAATAATAATAATAAATAAATAAAAAATAAAAGGAAAAACTATGTTGTGAGCAGGAAGAAGAAAATAAAATTCCCCGAGAGGTTAATGAAAAGGAAAAGGGCGACCACCCTCCACCTGATGGTGATGTCATCACATGGTATGTATTAGGGGTGTTCCAAGTGCGGTTTAGAGTTAAAACCGCAAACCGCACCGCATATACGGTTTGGACTATTAAAAAACCACAAACCGCACCGCGGAAGCTATAAAGCGCACTATACGGTGCGGTTTGGTGCGGCCGGTTTAGATGCGGTTTGTGCGGTTTGATTAGTTGTTCAACATTATGCGGTACGGGTTCTCCCATTTTATAATTCTTATGGTGTAATTATTTTTTTGGGACAATGGTGTATATATAGTTTTAAATTAGTTAAAATTTATAATTTAATTGCTTATGTATTGTAAAATTAACTAATACAAATAAGTACAAATGCACTTTATAATCGTAAAAAAATAGTTTTTTCATTAGCATTTCTATTATTTAACTTAAGAATGCATGAAGTTAGTTACGTGTTTAATTGACAGATTAGTAGTAAAAGTGTTTATCGTTTATGATAGTTTAATATATTAACTTGCAAGCAGGCCCGGTCCAGACGGTGGGCAACCCGGGCGGTCGCCCAAGGCCCATGTCTCTAAGGGGCCTAAAATTCTTAGAATATATGGTATATATATATAGAGAGAGAAAAAAAATCAATTTATTTAAAAATGGTACGAAAAAATATTTTTCTTTAAATTAGTTGTTTTTATAATGTTGTGGTCATATTTTTGCTTTTTAATATTAATAGTTAATTTTGTAACAGTTTGTCTATTTTTGATTTTAGGGGCTCATTTTTTCTTTTCGCCCTGAGCCCACTATATCTTTGGACCTGCCCTGCTTGCAAGCAGTATTGTAATGAAACTGCAAACAATGACATTACATTTTATGATGGTTAAGTTGAATTAACACGAAGTCAGTTAATTATATATATATATATATATATATATATATATATACACACACACACACGTGCGGTTTGATGCGGTGTGCGGTTTTTATATATTACAAACAGCAAACCGCACCGCGAATGTTCAAAACCGCATTATGCGGTGTGCGCGGTTTATGCGGTTTGATGCACACCCTATGTTGGTGAATATCTGAGTCTAATGTGGCGAGTTATGCGTGTTTGGTCCAGATCACAGTTACTTGGAGTGCTGTCCAAGTTCTAGATGTTCCTATAACAGAATCCTAGTTATATTCTATTATGTTTTGTATAGTATATAATGAGATAGGATCCTGTAATCAAATATTGGAGTTTTTTGAGATAGTTTTCTTCAATAATAAAGTTTGCGAGTTTATGCAATTATCTCTTTAATTGGTATCAGAGAAAAGGGATAGAAGGAACCTGTGTTGAGAATTTCTGCTGTGGTGAACACCATCTACGGATTTTTCTGCTTGAGTTTGAAGCAGTTCTGTTCGTGTGGAGAGTTACGAGTGTAACAGCCTTGCTGTTTTCGTAAGCCTGTGACAGACTAGGTAACAATCTGATTTCAGAGAAGGAGTTCGTGTGCAGAACATTCAGAACTCTGTGGTTCTTCTATGGTATACCTGCGGTAGAGAGAGATCCCGTGTGGAAACATCAAGCAGAAAACCTGTTCGGAACAGTGAATTGTTGATCATTCCTGTTCGTGCCAACCTGAAATCTGAACTTGATCGTGTCAGGAGCAAGAGTAATCGACCGCTACTCGGTGTTCTTGCTGTGAAATCGTCTACGTGCGTCTGCCTCGTGTGGTCCTGCTTGTAGAGATCGTGAACCTGCAACAGATCGGTGAAGAAGGCGTCTTTTGCCCTAAAGAAAAAAATACAAACGTGTTTTTTTTTGTTTGACTTTGGGCCTTGTTCTCATTCGTGTTTGGCTTATTCTAATTGGCCCAAATTTGTCCAACTTTGAATTAAAGGAACAATTACTTTAATTCAATTCACGTGAGAATTTATTTTTCGGAGAAAAAAAAAATCATTTTATTAAAAAAAAAAACAAATCAATTTTTTTTTATTTGTGTGGAGCAATCAGAAATTGAACCGAGATGTCGGGAGGAGAATCGTCCCAACCACCGGCTAAGGAACACGTGTCGTTCACATTCCAATGTCCGACTTTGACATCGACGAACTACACAATTTGGAGGATGCGCATGGAGGTGCTACTCGGGATTCATGGCGTTTGGGATGTGATCGATCCCGGACTAGATGACGTGAAGAAAAACAACATCGTGAAAGGATTGTTGTTTCAATCGATTCCGGAGGATTTAATCCTTCAAATCGGTAATTTAAAAACCGGAAGAGAGATGTGGGAAGCGATTAAAACTCGTAACTTAGGAGCTGATCGTGTGAAGGAAGCCCGACTCCAAACCCTAATCACGGAATTTGAAAATCTAAAGATGAGTGATACTAGTACGATAGATGAGTTCGCTGCGAAATTATCCGAAATTGCTTCGAAATCCGCCTCACTAGGAGAAGTTATGACTGAACAGAAGCTTGCGAAGAAGTTTCTTACGAGCCTCCCTCGACGATTTGTCCACATTGTTGCAGCCCTTGAACAAGTTTTGGACCTTAAAACGATTGGCTTTGAAGACGTGGTTGGTCGCTTAAAAGCTTATGAAGAAAGAATCAAGGGAGAAGAGAAAGTAATCGAGACTCAAAGTAAATTATTTTATTCCAAAACCGAATCGTCCAATAGAAATACTGATTCATCAAGAGGTAGAGGCAGGGGTTCAAATAACCGAGGAAGAGGACGTGGTGGTGGACGTGGCGGTGGACGTGGTCGGGGTAACACCCTAAATCACGGTCACTCGGAATCCTCTAAAAATCGTGAAGATCAAAAGCAAAAAGGAAAACAACGCGAGCAAAGAGATCTCTCAAACATCCAATGTTACCGGTGTGATAAATATGGGCACTTTGCTTCAAGATGCCCGGACCGAATAAAAAATCATGAGGCTAACCTTAATCAGACACACGAAGGAGATATAAATCATGAAGAAGGGACGTTCTTTATGATGAATACAATTCAAGAAACATTGTTCTTGAATGAAGATAAATACATCCCTCCAAAAGTCGAAGCAAATGCCGATGAAGACGGAATTTGGTACTTAGATAATGGTGCGAGTAACCACATGACCGGAAACTACTCTTATTTTTCTGAATTAAATAAAAACATAACGGGTAAAGTGAGATTTGGAGATGGATCGTGTGTTAGCATTAAAGGAAAAGGGTCAATTTTGTTCGAAGGGAAAAGCGGTGAGCAAAAATTAATGAAAGATAGTTATTATATCCCATCACTTCGTAGCAATGTTATTAGCCTCGAGCAATCTACAATAGCCGGTTGTGATATTCAGATGCGAGGTGATTTCCTAACCATGCGAGATGGAGACGGAAGATTACTTATGAAAGTCCCGAGAAGTGCAAACCGACTCTACAAAATAAAGTTAAAAGTTGGAAAACCACATTGCTTACAAGCCAAGTTTAATGATGAAGCTTGGTTATGGCACGTGCGACTTGGCCACATTAATTTTGGCGCGATAAACTTGATGCACAAGCTAGCTAAAGGGGTACCGGCAATCCAACATCAAGACCAACTTTGTGAATCTTGCATGTTTGGAAAACAAACAAAGCAGTCGTTTGCAAAGAAAGCTAATTATAGAGCTACAGATATTCTCGAGATGGTGCATGGAGATATTTATGGACCGGTTGATCCCCCCACCCAAGCAGATAATATTTATATTCTAGTTCTTATTGATGATTATTCTAGATATATGTGGTCTTTTCTTTTGAAGCACAAAAGTGATGCATCCGGAATTATTAAAAGATTCAAGATATCAATTGAAAAACGAACCGGTAAAGAGATCAAGACTTTCCATACAGATAGAGGTGGATAATTCACATCGAATGAGTTGAATCGTTTTTGTGATGAAGAAGGGATTTCACGTATGTTGACGGCTCCTTATGCACCTCAACAAAACGGTATAGTTGAACGGAGAAATCGGACGTTACTCGAGATGACACGGTGCCTAATGAAAGCAAAAGATATTCCAAACCACTTTTGGGGCGAAGCGGTACGACATGCAACGTTTATCATAAATCGTACACCTACTCGAGCATTGATAGGTGCTACACCATTCGATGAAGAACCAAAGAACTTTAAGGAAGCCAAAGTGAACAAGAATTGGCTCGATGCAATGAAGGCCGAAATTGACTCCATCGAGAAGAATAATACTTGGAAATTAGTTCCTCCGCCTAAAGATGCTAAACCTATTGGGTTAAGATGGTTGTATAAAATTAAAAGAAATATGAATGTATCGATTACAAGGTACAAAGCACGTCTAGTAGCAAAAGGCTATGTACAAGAGCAAGGCATTGATTTTGATGAAGTATTTGCGCCAGTAGCTCGACTCGAGACAATAAGATTATTGATTGCTCTCACGGCCAGGAACGGATGGAAGATTCATCACTTAGACGTAAAAACTGCATTTTTATATGGAGATTTAAAGGAAGAAGTGTACATGTGCCAACCGGAAGGTTTCATGAAGCAAGGTGAAGAAACAAAAGTCTAAAAATTGGCAAAAGCTTTATACGGTCTCCGACAATCTCTGAGAGCATGGAATTTGAAGCTTAATAACACGTTGAAAAATATGGGTTTTAAACGGTGCATGCAAGAAAATGCGGTTTATAGAAAGGTTGCAAATGGAGAATACATAATAGTTGCGGTTTATGTAGATGATTTGTTCGTGACGGGAACAAGTTTAGAGTTTATAAACCAATTCAAGAGACTAATGGCATTACAGTTTGAAATGTCGGACCTTGGTGAACTAACTTGCTACTTGGGTATTGAAGTATTGCAAGAAAATGGTTGTGTAAAGGTGAAGCAAGAAAGTTATGCTATGAAGATTCTAAAAGAGGCAGGCATGCAAGAGTGTAATGCAACTCAATGTCCGATGGAGCCAGGACTAAAGTTGTCAAAAGCTGAAGATGAACCAGAAGTTGAAGCTACCTATTATCGAAAAATAGTAGGTTGCTTACGGTATCTCTTACACACTCGTCCGGATTTAGCATATTCGGTTGGAGTCGTTAGCCGTTATATGCAAAGTCCAAGAGAATCTCATGCACGCGCTATTAAGCAAATTCTTCGTTACTTGCGTGGTACACCATCTTTTGGGATAGTATATAAACGAAGTAATAATATGAGCTTGATAGGATATAGTGATAGCAGTCACAATGTTGATATTGATGATGGTAGAAGTACAACGGGGCATGTTTTCTACCTTGGTGACTCTCCTATCACTTGGTGCTCCCAGAAGCAAGATACAGTAGCTTTGTCCTCATGTGAAGCTGAGTTCATGGCAGCTACAGCAGCTGCGTGTCAGGCAGTTTGGTTAAGGGAGTTGTTAGCTGAGTTGACAGGAATGAAGAAACAGAAGGTGATGATTCGCATAGACAACAAATCAGCAATTGCATTGTCAAAGAATCATGTCTTTCATGGAAGAAGCAAACACATTCACACTCGATTCCACTTCATTCGAGAGCGTATGGAAAACGAGCAAGTGATTGTTGAACATGTTTCGGGAGATAAGCAACGAGCAGATCCTCTTACAAAGGCCTTAGCTCGAATAAGGTTCGCAGAGATGAGAGCGTTGCTTGGCGTGCAAGAATTACCCTCGACTCAGAAATTCAGGGGGTGATTGTTGGTGAATATCTGAGTCCAATGTGGCGAGTTATGCGTGTTTGGTCCAGATCACAGTTACTTGGAGTGTTGTCCAAGTTCTAGAGTCCTTGAGTCATAAGGAAACATATTTTAGGAAAGTATAAATGTTCCTATAACAGAATCCTAGTTATATTCTATTATGTTTTGTATAGTATATAATGAGATAGGATCCTGTAATCAAATATTGGAGTTTTTTGAGATAGTTTTCTTCAATAATAAAGTTTGCGAGTTTATGCAATTACCTCTTTACCCTAGTATGTATGTCTTTTAAGTTTTAGTTTAATCAGTAACAATTATTCAAAGAAGTTAATTGGATTATTTTTGTAGATACAGATCCAGCTAGAGATGTTATTATAAGAAAAAGGGTGTTTGGCACATGACAATTCAGTATTCGCACGCATTTGAGAGAATTAATTGAGTACCACCAACTCAGCATGCAAGATTTGGTGTATTGAGATGAAGCCACCTAAGATGTTCAAATTGACCTATCTACCCCTGCTTCTGTTTGTGCATGTGCTTGGTCCCGCCTAATGGAAACCTCCCAACGACCATGACTTACTACTTGTAAGAGTGCATTATTTGCGCTACAAAGAACATCTTTAGTTGAAAAATCAAGATACGAGCCTCCTGAAAAATGTGAGTTATAACTGATGTAGAGTTATATTACCATAATAGCCTTTTGAGACTACTTATCTTTGTGTCCTTTATCATAAATTTAATATTTATTTAACCTACTAGGCTATGAAAAGCTATATTTATGATGATGACCCTTCACTCGCTTCATGTGGAATTACTATTGCAAAACAACTTGCTCAAGTTGATTGTCATGTCCTCGAGGCACCAAAGGTTTGTGTAATATTTTTCTTATTCATTTTTTTAGTTTAATAACAAGGTTTGTGTGACAGGGTATTTTTGTAAATTGCTAGTATCTGTTTTTTTTGTCTTATGTATGTTTTAATTCTTTTCTCTTGTAGAAGCTTTTCACTCCCATTCAAATCCATAAATGGGTATTTGTTAATTTTTCTAGCAAGTGTGATGCAAGTTATCTTTTGCGGGAGCTCTTAAATTATGGAAGAAATAAAGGAATTGTAAGTCAAACTAAAACATATGCTTACTCTTTTTTTTTCGTAGCAAGTGCTTTGACTTAGACTTGATTTTGATTTTTTGATTAATAGATATTGATCACCCATTTTCACAATTGGAAGAAAACTCACAAAATCGAAAATAGTGCCATGTAATACGTGCATAAAAAATATCTGACCAAGTTTTAGCAAAACTCTCTTGTGCCCCATGTTGGGAATATTAGGGTTTGTGGTGGAGATCTGGATACCAACTTGGATCGTGATATCACTTTCCGAACTGATATTTCTACCCTATGTCTGGGTTACAAGAAATTCAGCCTAGGATAATCCAAGTGGACACTTACGTTTCTAGGCACAGAAAACATAAGCCAATATGCTAAAGTATTATGTGAATGTGTGATGAAAAACGAGAGCTAAAGAACGTAACCCCTTCTGGAAAGGAAGAGTCGTTTATATAATAAACACGATTAGGGTTTCATTAGGGATGGGTCGTCATTAGTTGCTTTAGAAGCAAGTAATATTAATCCGGATTAGTTTTACCAGCCAGGGGCTCTGCCCCTTGGACCCCCTAGGGGCGCTGCCCCTAGACCCCGCCAAAGGGGCGCTGCCCCTTTGGAAACCCCGGACCCGGGGGCACTGCCCCCGAACCTCCGACTAGTCGTCGAACCGGCTTATGATTCGATCTTATACATGTGTGCACTCCGCACAACCCCGTACATATATTAGAGTACAAATCATGAAGCCCCTTAGCTCACATGTTAGTTCCAGTTACTTAAAATGACATGGTGACACTAAAATCACCAACACCCCACAATTTCTCGTTTGCATAATATGTTTTATTATGCCATTATCTTTTCAAAAGCCACATAATTAGTTAATAGACATTACATGTAAAACGTATAATTTTTTTTTATTGTTTTTTGTTTTAGAAACTTTGCAATTTATAGTAATTTTGATTAAATTATTAATTGTGCAAGTCTATTCAGGTGGCAAAAAGGATTACACAAAAGGTAGAAGGAGTCTCTTTTATGCCGGCATGTATGTTTTAAATTTTGTTTCCTTTTTATATAAATTTTCTTGAATATAAACTAGATGAGGGCTATTAGAGAAGAACTTGGAGATAATGATGAAGATGATGACCTGGCTGCCTTTGAAAGAAAGATGCAAGATGTTGGAATGCCTAAAAATATTTGGAAACGTGCACATAAGGAATTAAGGTGTGTTTTTATTAACACTTAAATTACATTTTTGGTCCATGAGTATTAGGGATGAACTTTTTAACTGAAAAATAAATGTATCTTAGTTTTTTAGATATAATTTTTCAAACTTTTGTTTTAAATGTTTTTTTATCAGGAGATTGAAAAATATGCATGCTCAAGATATAGCAACTCATGTGTTTACCTTGAGCTTCTTGATGATATGCCATGGTAGACAAGAAGAGACAACAATTTAAGAAGTTGAATTGGACTTATAGTTGTAGAAGATATGCTTGATAGTGAACCACTTATAGCTTAGTCAAAATCAAACAAAAGATTACTGAATATCTTTGCAAAGGTTAGAAAAACATTTAATTTTTCCTAGCTAGTGTTTGTTTGTTATGATTAATCTTGTAAGGAATGTAATGTTTCATTCCATTGGATAAAAACATTTAATTTTTCCTAGGTAGTGTTTGTTTGTTATGATTAATCTTGTAAGGAATGTAATGTTTCATTCCATTGGATGAAAAAGAAAATGTTGTTTATTTTGTCTCATGTATGAAAGTTTTATATTTGATTATTTATTGTATTGTTAAATATAGAATCTTATGAGTATATACCCATGCAAAATGTTTCATGATTTTATTTTATTTTATTTTATTTTTTATTTTTTTTATTGTGGCAAATAAAAAGTGCCACTAAAATCTTAAAATATGTAACTAAAAATAGCATGAATTTTTGAATTAAATGAGCATTCAATGACATAAAATATGTGCCACAAAAAAACTTTTCTTTTATTGTGACAAATAAAAAACTGCCACTAAAAGCCTGAAAAGTTGCAGCGGCAAAAACAAAAAGTGTCAGTAAAAGGTTTAGTACGAGCGTTTCTAGTGGCATTTATTATGTGTGCCGCTCATTCTTTGAGAAGCTTTTAGTGGCATTTTTTTGGGGTTTTTAGTGGCACTTTTTGTGTACTGTAGTGTACTATTGATTAAAATATCATCAAAATAAAAGATGACAAATTTGCCGAGGGGTGTAGCCAATATAGGGCAAGAGTGGGTTTTGGCTCACCCATACAAAATTAAGGTTACATATATATGGTATGTACAATATATATTTTTGTTAAATAAAAGCATTTAGGGTTGTGATATGGCCTTATTCCATTCAAAACTTAAAATTAGTAGAAGGGGATACATTGTTTTAAGACAACATCGCGTTCAACTTAAATAAACAATATAGTTTAGAATGCATATATAATTACATTTTATTACCGTTTTCATATTTTGTATATTATTTGGCCTACCCTAAAACAAAATCCTGATTTCGCCGCTGAATTTGCAGGTCGTAATGTCCGATTCATGACACACATAAATATGCTAGGGGCATTACAGACACCAAACAACATTACCAAGAAGTCATATAAGCATTCAAGTGGTTTAAAGGCAGCTTTCCATTCATCATGCGAATACGGATTTGGTGGTATCTACTGTTCAAATCTAATTTACTAAAGACATAAGCACCATTCAACTCATCTAACATGTTATCCAGTTGCTGAATAGGGAACCATTAACAAACTGTAATGTTATTGATAACATGATTAATCATGCATATGTGCCAATTACCATCATTTTTAAAGTAAGTAGGGTTGGTAGGCCGGAGTAGAGGGGTAAGTTGAGTGACGACCCCGGGCCTCGATAAGGTTTGGGCGCCAAAATTACTTCTTGTTGGTATATATATATATATATATATATATATATATAATATATATATATATATATATATATATATATATATATAAGTTTTGTTAAAATATTTACAAATGTGTGATTAGTTGAGTTGGTTACGTCTATTGTAGGCGCTAGTGTTACGTGTTGTTTTCTTTTATTACCTATTTTACAAATTGCACGGGCCGCTTTCTTATAAACTTTTTTTTTAATCATAAATGTACCGAGTTTATTGATATGGAATCTAAAATTACAAAAATGGCCTATATATTCTTTTTTGTTATTCACAAATCATCTAAATTATATAGAAATCATCCCTTCATTCATTTTCTTTTTTGACACGTCATCCAAACACTCATTTTATTTAAATTTTTGATGTTTTTATGGCCAATATCATGCATAATTTCCGTTTTATATATGAGATTTTTTATTGTTTACCGTCTTTTAATGTATAATAACAATTTTTTTGAGAAAATTTCATATATATCTTTGCAAACATTAAGAATTGCGTATATATTTCTTTCAAAGTTTATAATTACTTATATGTCCTCCTTAACCTATTAAACTCTCATTTATATCTAGTCTTATAATTTAATAAAATATAAATCAATTTAATATCAAAAAATATATTTAAAAATCAAAAATACATATAAAGTAACCAAAATACCCTTTGTAAATTATATCCAAAGTATAATTCTATTTTTCTTTTCGCTAGGAATTGTTAATAAAACCTAGGTGGGGACCCCCGCGTTGCAGGGGTCGGATGCGACAATTTTTTCCATTACTATTCACCACCAAGATGTGTATCTCCACCTTAAAAACTGCATCACCAACCTCAACAATTACGATAAGCAAAAAGGGAAATATGTGTAATCAAAGTATTACGAATACACATGGAAAACAGATGTTCCACCCAAAAAACAAATGTAGAAAGATACAAATGGGCAAAATTGCAGACAATGAAAGGAAGAACAATTGCATGTAATGCCTTACCTGTAAGTTTGCAAATACATTGCTCTTCTTCCTCTAGGAAAAAACATCCATATAAATCATACACTAAAATGTGACATTACATTTAAATGATAAACTAAAAGACATCAATTACTTAATCAGTATTCCATATCTGACATTAACCGAGAATTCCAAATAGACTCTCAGATGCGGCATGAACATTACCTGCGGTGGCTGTCATTGCTTGACGATTCTCACGTGTGTCAAAGAATCCCATTTCTTGTAGCTGTGCCAGCTGTGTAGCATACAATTCTTCCGGATGCACTGTTTTTTTATTTTATTTATAAAAAATGAAAAATATATGAGTTTGTTTATTTGTGAGATATGAGTGATGATTTTGACAGATTAAATAATAGGTAAATAAGTTAGTTACCATTTGAATTGTTTGGCATTGTGAAACCACCGGTTCCAAGCCCCCAAAAGATGTTCATAAGCATATATCCAACCTCATGTTGTCAGGCCCACCTGCTACACCAAAAAACAAAATTATTATAAATATAATAATATTTATTAAGATTTAGTTTGCTATACTGGTTTGACCTATTTCCCTGAATATACAAACAGAAAATTGATATCAAACCATGAATATCAATTACATGGTGAAGTGAAAATCAACGGTTGAGTTGACCTATTAGAAAAAAAGGATAAACATTTTACTGAGTGGGTGGTTGCCTACCAGACAAAAGAGATTGCTGCATTGTGATTATTTACTATAAATTGTAACAACAGTGTGATTATATTGAATAAAAGTTAAAGTTTATAAATTAAACTAACCAATGCTGGTGAGCTTGTGGTTTGAGACCCAAGATTGCAAGCCTTCCATTTGACCTGCATCATACTTCCAATTTTTTGCTTCATAATATATAATATGAATAAACGAAAAGTAGAAGGGTCGGATGCGACAATTTTGTTTCGAGTTTATTCTCCAAATCCAAAGAATTAAACCAGGCTGCAAAAACTTTGCAAAATAGAAGAGTCAAATTAAGCCATAAAATAATTTAATTTGCTGTAAAGATTGATCAAATTGTAATAGTTAACTAATAAGTGTAAAGGTTAATAACAGAAAAAATCCTTTAATCTTAAAACCATCCATTAAGTCTTTCTTTCTTGGGTCATAATTCATTGAGATTTTGAGCAACATACCTATAAGTCGGACAATTTTGCCCCTGCCTTGTTTTTTGGTTCAGTTAGTTGGTTCAATTTTGCCCCGGAATGAAAACCATATCACATCCACCATTGAAATCACATTAATTGTTTTATATTAAAAAATATATGAAGTAACCCAAAACAAATTTTTTTTAAAAAGGAAAAAAACTGTAAATTGAAAGTGCAATGCTATTTATTGTATTTATAACCAAAAATGGAAAATGAACCAAATGGCAATGTATTTTGGTTCTTTGGTAAAGAAATTAAAGAAAGTGAAAAAAAAAAACAGAAAAAAACAGAAAAAAAAAATGTATTGGTTACCCCTCCCAAATGCATTGGTTACATCTAATTTTCCTATTAGATTATACTTAACTAATTCTAAATCCTTTAGTTGTTCTAGACTATAATTGTTCCTGACTTCCTGTAAATTAGTAGTATCTCCAATTTCTTACCTTTATCTCATTTACTGTATGCTTCCGCCATTGTTGAGAAAAAATCAATGACTACCACATCATCGAATGTTATGCCTCCATCTGGAAATTCAATTCACTCCTGTTAATCAAAAAAGTTGTATCATCAATAAACTGAAAATCGAGACTGAATAATGGGAGAAAGTTTAAACGTGAAAGAGCAAGGAAATTACCTTCTAGTTCTGACTGCTGCTCAAGGCGGGATTGTCGGAATCGGCACACCAATAAGCCGTAATTCGATCAACCTGTGGCTGATATAGGTGGGATGAGACGTCGTCGCCGGTTATCTGTTTTTCTCCCCTCTCCAACCCCAGACGTTAGATACACTGAAGCGAACATGTACTGTATGCTCAGAGGACCAACGAAAATCGGAGACCTGACGCCGACGACATGAATTGAGGAGTTAGACGCCGCATCGACGAAGGGACCGGGGAAAACACAAAATCAAGAAACTGAATATGAAGGGAAGATGGAAAATCGACACCGATTCAAAGTGAATCATCATCGTCGGCCTCGCCATCACCTGTAGCAAGTAGAAAACGGGTCAGTCTAAATCGGTGGTGAAGAAGAAGCGAGAAGCATATAGTTAATTACCCACCGAAACTCCAAAGCACCACAGCGGAAGTGAGAGGAGGCGGTGGAGGTCAGAAGTGAAATTTCGAAGAAATGAAAGGGGATAGGGGATGGAGCTGGAATCGGAAGATATTGGATAAGGAGGCGGTGGGAAGGATCCAGGGATAAATCCAAACGATGATCAACACCTGTATAAAAGAATGTAAATATTTCCATAAAATGCCCATATACAAAAACAAAACGAAAACAACAACTAAACGATAATGAGGGGACCATTTTTGCCAAAAAGGACCCAGGTTCACTATTGCAAAAAGGTGGTCATTTTTAATATATATATATATATATATATATATATATATATATATATATATATATATTAATTAACTCCTTCAATCCATCGTCAACACTATTCATCGACTACCACCCGACAAAACCAAGTGCAATCTCTCCCTTGCTTTTTCTGGTCTCCCTCCTCCTCCTTCCCTCTTAGCGCACCGGTAAGCCACAACGCTGACAAAAAAATATGCGGACCAAAAAGTAGGACATTTAATGGTAGAATCCCTCGAGTCCGAACAAACCACTCAAGCTAACACCGGTAAGCCAAGGGTGCACGATTTCTGCATCAGCCCTCGAGTTCATACCTTTTGAATATAATATGAACTTCAACAAGATTTAATTTCGTTATCCTTACTTGTATTGTAGCCCTAATTTTATTCACTTTCGGGTTTTTGAAATTACATGTAAACTACAAACAAACATCACATGTTTGTTGTGTCTACATTTTGATCTTAGTCCATGGATGGTTCCTTTATTCATTCAAAATATGGTAAAAAAAAATTGAATACTACCTAAATTCTATCTTTCACTTCTTCTCAATTCAACAATTTCATATCATAACAATGAAATTACATGGTTTACATAACTGATGTATCTTGCATTTCATGTATTGCTTTACACAGGGGAAAAAACCCTAAGATTTTTCAAATCAGGCTCTTACAGTGTACGCCTTTTAAAGGCTGCAATTTATCCAAGAAGCTTTCTCACGTTGCAAATATCCAAACCTCCAGAGTTTCGTCACAACAGTGGACAGTGCATGTTTGTCCAATGCTCGACTGTATCTCCAGTTGAATGGTAGTTTTATAATTAATGATTTCCAAAACGATTCATTTCACACACACACACACACACATATATATATATATATATATATATATATATATATATATATATATATATATGCTACTAATCTGTATATATCATGTTTATGCATCCCTTTTCAATCATATCTGCTCCAGATGACGATTACCTAGCCATTCGCATAAGGTAGCAGACTCGATGAGGAAGACCCAAACTGCAGGTCGACGTATGATCAAGAGTAATCAGGATGCCGGGGCATGATAAGGAGAATCACATGATAAAGAGAATCACATTGCTAAGATTAATCATAATTAACAATGATTTAAATTTTATCTTTTATTTTCAAAGGGTCTTTTGGTAACTTTATATGTATTTTTGATTTTTAAATATATATTTTTTTATTAAATTGATTTATATCTTGTTAAATTATAAGATTTTATATAAATGAGAGTTTAATAGGTTAAGAAAGATATATACGTAATTATTAATGTTTGCAATGATATATAATATATATATATATATATATATATATATATATATATATATATATATATATATATCTATATATATATACTAGTCTTTAAACACTGTTGGGCCGTAAACCCTGTTGGGACGTAAACCCTGTTGGGCCGCAAACTCCCTATCTTCAAATCACGTGCGATTCTAACACCTAGTTTCAAGTGATTCCTAGTCCCTAAGGTGTTTTCCTTCCATAACAGATAATGTTATGTCCTCATCTAATACATATGTGTGTTATCATATGTAATAGGATCCACTTGCATACGAAACATCAGTTAACACTCAGTATCCACACCGATCTTACACTCAAGTCTTACGACAAACTGTGAGTTCATACCCCTACATTTTCTGGTTTTCAAACGTTTTCAGCGAGGGAATACAAGCTAAACCATAAATGCTTTTGTTAATACAAAGAGCTTTTAACAAGTATAAAACTCATGCAATTCTCATACATTAACCCTTTTGTATTGTGCTGAGCATAAGGGACGTTTTCACTAAAATTGCATAGTTTTTCCATGACACTATATTCACTACACTATACATGCAAACTATAATCGGTATAGTTTGGGATTTTTCTAAAACATAACAAGTACAGAAACTTTCACTACTAAACGTATGCACTAATACAGAAATGGTTTACAGATTACATCACTGCATCATCATGGTATTCATAACTGTAACATTCACTACATACGGATTTTCACTACGATAAAACGCTATGACACTACATGTAAACTAGATTGTACGATACTGTGAGGCGCTACTTCACTATTGTACCCTTAGGTGTACAGGGATAAATCCTATCATAGTATAACCAGAGTCTCCTGGAGGGAAGAGCGTGAGATTTGTGAATAGATCTATTCGGGACTGACAATCCCACACCCGAACTGCTAGCTACAGTTAGGCAGGCATGCCTAGGGTGACAAATGTCATTTAACTCAACGCCTGAAGAACGTTGGAAAGGTCACTAGTCACATCAAGCATGGTTATACGACTCACATTATGTATAAATCACCTTTAGTTTACAACCTGACATTCTTCAACGGTTTTATTTATACCAAATAAAACTAATACACACTATGTATACTGGCTAAAGCCAGGGTTTTCAAACAGAACCAATTATGCGATGGTTTCACATACAAAATACCTATACTTCATGATTAGCTTTAGCTAGTCACATGAGGTAGAATTTTCGCATGTCACTACGGTTTTCAGTAACGAGCATTCATGGTTTTATACGGGAATCGATAACACTACATTTTCACTAAAGAAAATATCGGATTTTCTTGGAAACATACAGACATTCATGGTTCATTACAAGACTAATAACACTACATTTTCATTAAAGAAAATATCGGATTTTCTTGGAAACATACAGACATTCATGGTTCATTACAAGACTCATAATACTACATTTTCACTAAAGAAAATATCAGATTTTCTCGAAACTATACAAACATTTCTGCTAACTCATCAACAAGTTTTCATTACAAATTGCTGCTTATGAACTCACCAGCTTTATGCTGATATTTTCAAACTGCTTGTATTCTCAGGAAATCAGTAGACAGGTACCTGCTGGGTTTTTGAGAAGTTGAAGCAATAAGAGTTTAATATTTATACAAACTACATGATGTAATTCAAACAAGTTTCAGACAATTTCCAAATTGATGTAAACGTTTTTATTAAGTATTCATTGTAATGGTTGTGTTGCTATGATTGTTGTTATACATTGGTTGTGATGCTTTACATGACGTCATTCACCCCAGAACGTTTCCGCCATTTTGGTTTTGGGGTGTGACAACTGGGGTTGTGGGACGGAAGTCCTCTGAGACACAGTGACCAGAAGGTCTTATAGCCTTGAGTGGCGTATGTGCGTATGTGGTATTTTGGGGAACTCACTAAGCATTTATGCTTACAGTTGTTATGTTATGTGTTTCAGGTACTAGCGAGGATCGCAGGAAAGCGCCGACATGATTCGTACACACTTATGGAGTTATGTTTTGAGATTCTGGGATATGTTTTGTTATGACAACATTGGATACATTATGTTTTGATGTTATTGTGTGACTGAAAGTATGATTTAAAAATGAAAAATTGTTTTGGAAATTTACGTTGTTACAGTGGGCCCCTCGATGATTTAGTGATGATAAACCTAAGTGTTTGGCTAAGCCTAGACCGATTTGATTTGTTCAATTAGTCGGTCGTCATAAATCGGAAATCGGGAAACAACACATGAATAGAGAGAATGATTATAATCCATGTCTTAGTTCATACGATATCTTGTAGAATGGAGAAATATATGATCCCTTATCTAATGGACGCGTCATTGACTAGGTCAGAGTTCGACAACGGCTTTTGAGAACTACGATTGCTGGTCGGTTTTTCAAGCCGTACTTACAGTTATAGTTATTAAACTTATCCAAGTGGGAGACTGTTGGATTAGGTGTCTAAGCCCATAACTATAATTGGTATGTACTTGACCCGAGAGTAGCATGTTCCATTTTGGGTTACATTCACCAGAACATTTTGATAAGATGGATATTTGAGAAAGAGGTTATTTGTGATTTATTAATATATTATAAGTATAATATATTAAATTGAGAAATCATATTATTTAATTAGTATTGATCAAGAATTAATGTTGAATTAAGTTAGTGATCAAAAGAGACTGATTAAATTAACGGAGACTGATTAAGTAAATCAGTTATACATATAGTTTGGGCCAATGATCCATGATTGATTAGTACTGATGGGCTAAGTTTATGTGAGAGTCCATAAAGTATTAGTTCATAAGGCTTATCAAATGGATTCAAAACATTATAATTTTTTCTTTTTGGACAAATATGATATTTTGAATGTTTATAAAGGTAAATATGATATTAAAAAATTAAGATGGATAAATATGATTTTTTGTGATTTAAAAATGACATATATTATATATATATATATATATATATATATATATATATATATATATATATAATATATATATATATATATATATATATATGAAATTCTTCCAAAAAAAAATAGATAGCAACCCATTTCAACCGAAACATTTTGAAAAACATAAATAAATCAAGGAAGTAAATTGAAATTAATACAAATTATTTATATGAGGCCAAAAAACAATACAATTACCATAAAGATATAATGGCCCAATAGATAATATTAAATGATCATTTAACGAAAGAAGACAAATTTTAATTATTATACATATATTAAAGTTACGAAGGAAAGTAAAGTAAAGTTTTCAGCTTCTAATTTTGCCACTAATGTTTTTAACTTCTGGATTCTTACTTCAAATGTGGCAATTTTTTTTGTCAATACCGACATTTTGTGTCCTCGTTTATGTATTTCATATTTACATATTTATTTTCCAGATCCTTCCACAACCTTTGTCGGTTACGTTTCCCGATCCTTCCATCCCTCTCTTCATCCTGGATATTCTCGATTTTGTTTGCTTTCTCTCAAACGACAACGTCCCCTTCCTCCTTCCACAGAGCCCCGACCCCGTTTTGTCCGCCGCCCACCACCTCTCCGGCTGCAGCCTCAAGCAGAGCTTCCGATAAGCTTTATAGATCCACTCCACTGACTTCAGTGAAGAGCCGCTTGAACTCAAAACGGATTCGAAAATGGGGGCGATTAAAGGCGGTGAAATGGTTTACATGATATACAGAGCTGTCGCATATGGTCTATCACCGCTGATAAATCTTCATCTCCGGTGGCGCAAGTTCCGAGGCCTCGAGCATCCTATTCTTCTTCGCGTCTACCACCAGGTTCGCTGCTTTCTTTTCTGTTCGATTACAACTTGCTCTTCGAATCCTCAATTTTCTGTTTCCTTTTCTGTGTATTTCTATGTTCGATTAGGGATTGGGTGCCACCGTCTATCAGAATCGGAGTCGACCTCTTCACCTTCTAAGGCCATTGTTGCTTATTTTCAACAGATGAAGCACCATACGCGGTAGCATTTGTTCTTTTTTTTTTTATCGTTTTTTCTGTATATGTATCAGATGATCATTAAAGTTTTTTATCGTTTTCTCTATATTTATCAGATGATCATCAGCTAAAAATTTCTGTTGATCGTTGCTTTTGTTTTTCTTATCCAATCTACAGACAGGACGATGCAGATGACCATCGAGTGGGTTCCGATTCCGGTTCTGACGACGGGAATGGGAGCTTTTACCACTACGACCACAGGTGTGTTTCCTTAATTTTTTGGGGGGTATTGCTGTACGCCTCTGTTCCTTCAATTTCTTCACCGCCTCTATAACCCAATGACAGATTCGTACTGAGGAATGGCAGAGTCATTGGCCGAATTCTCGCCCAATTGTTATCTTAGACCTAATTTGGAACCTTGCGTTTGTTACTGTTTCAGTTGCGGTTTTGGTTATGAGTTTGAAGGAGTCTCCGGTGATGCCATTGAGGGTTTGGATTGTTGGGTATGCGTTGCAGTGTCTGCTCCATATGGTCTGTGCGTATGTTGAGTATAAACATCGGTACCAACAACGATCGTTTGAAGCTATTAATGGCAATTCCAGTTCTGCAACTTCTGGAAATGAAGGTCACGAGAATGTTGATTTTGCTTCGAGTAGGTTACAGAATGATGATGAGACTAGGTAAAGTTGTTAATCAGCTTGTGCTAATTCTTATTCTTACTTCAAATGAACGACACATTTTTACTTTTCATTTCTTGAATATTGAATCACAATATCGATAACAATTTAAACTTAATCCTTTAATCTGAACAAATAATTAGTAACAGAAAACATATAATTAATAACAAACATTTATGTTTATCTGTGGCAGTGTTGCAAAGCATCTGGAGTCTGCTAATACAATGTTTTCATTTATTTGATGGATTATCGGATTCTGTTGGTTGTCAGCAGGTGGTCAAAATCTGAGTTCTGAGTCACCTCAGTTATACTGGTTCGTTTTTACCTTTTTTCCCTTTAAAAAATTCCCAATTTTTACGTTTCTTCTGTTTAACTAATCTCTGTATATGTATTGTTTTTGTTTTTGTTTTTTCAGGCTTTGTATAACGTTTTTGGCATTTGATGTGTTTTTTCTGGTTATCTGTGTTGCTGTGGCATGTGTTGTTGGCATTGCTGTTTGCTGCTGTTTACCATGTATTATTGCAAGTTTATGTCCTGTTGCTGATGATCAGGTGAGTTTTTATAAAAAAATAATTTTCTTTTAATATGTATTTTTTTATATGTGCTACTCCTTCACCCAAGCAATCAAACCCTAAATCGGTACTCTGATATTTGGTCCAATTGGATTAATGAGATAGAAATCAGTTGAGATTTGAAGGACACTTTGTCAAGGCTAAGTTACTCTGTGTGTTAACAGAAACGAAAAAGGGGAAGTCAGCCACCGATACAGAAAGAGCTAGCCCTTTGTCGCTGCGTTGATACTGTTCAGCCCTAATTTCTTCAAGTCTTTCGTTCTGCTGGAAAAACTTTTGAGAGGTAAGTTGTAAACCCTAAGTATAAATTCTGAAATTACTTGGGTTTTGTTGTCTGCCTGTGGAAATAACCTTTTCAATTCTTATTGTTACAAGGTTACAAATCTGCCCTTCTTATATACCCCAATTATTTAATCCTCTATTTCAGGTACTTCATGTTGAAGACATTAACAATTTTCAGCAAACAGTTCCCAAGTACCTCTCCACAAGATCTCTATGAGTTTTTTTTTTTATTTATAAATTTTGTTGGCCTCTTACTTGACTAGGTTGGTATCGATTGATACTTTCATTATATCAAAATCCTGATTCGGTGTCAGCCGTCTGATTGAAACAACATCTATGATTTCTAGATTCATTTTTTCTTTCAAATCAGGTTCCATTCAAGAAGCGTAAATGTTTATGGATTTCTATTTTTCTTGGTGTTGTGTACGATTCTCACTCAATTGTTAAGAATATATTTAGTTCGTCACTCCTAACTTTTCTCATGGGGTTGTGTGTTTCATCGCATCCGACCCCCGCAACGCAGGGGTTCCCCACCTAGTTCTATATAAAGGGTCTCGTAGTCTAGGTAGGTGAAACACAGTTCTTCAACAAAATATTTAAAATACAAAGATATGGATGCTGCAAAATTCATGTTTGTTTTGGGTCTTCTTGCTGCAATACACATCATGCATAACAAAGCTTTTGGTGAAACATATTTTCCTTTCCTTATTTGCTAACACTTGAGTTTACTAATTGAAATGGTGGTTTAAGATATGAATTCATGTTATAAAACATATATGTAATATTAAAATGGTGGTTATTATCATTCTTTTTTTCGTCTTTTTTATAATTAAACGTAGTAATGAATTCAAGACTAAGTAAAATATTATGCATCTTAGTTATGATACAATACAACTTACACAATGTTTTAAAAATTACATCATTTGAAATAGTTTAAAACATTTTGGGAACAATTTTTTAGAAATGCCAACATGCTTATGCTTATATATTTTTATTATAACTTGGCAGTGTCCTCGGAAAAAGTATATTTTATTTGTACAGCCTTACGATGCCATAATGATTCAATATGCTTAACCGAGTGCAAAGGAGCAGGATTCGCTGAAGGCGTGTGTAGATTTGAATTGATGGATAATCATCGTTGTTGTTGTATAAGTCGACACTAAAGTTTAGCATCATTGTAATAAAATAACATAAGTTTCTTACTATAAACAATAATGTTATTAGGGGCTACCGCGAGATTTCAGAGGGACTGTGCATCTAAAAGAACAATAATAATAATAATAATAATAATAATAATAATAAGCCCTAAAATTTGAAATACATAAAAATTTAAGCAAAACATTTACAATTTTTCATATTCTACTGCAAAATACATAAATTAAAATTTCATTCAAAATAATACAAAAATCTTTTCTTCTACTTGAAAACAACCATCCTTCTAACATTCGTTGAAATAATTTCTTTTATAACATCCTTCTAATATTCAATTAGTAAAGTTTTAATACCATTGTCCTTTAGAAAATTATAAAAAAAAATCAAAGATGAATCATAAAGAAAAAGATCAGAAAATAAAATGATTTTCCATAACGAAGGTTCCGGCCAGTTTCCGCACACCGACTAATTCTCGGCTACAAACATAAGGTTGTGCATCATGCCCTGAAGTCATTGCAGATAAACCTCCATGACCACAAAGGCTGAGTAGTAACATAATTTGAACATTAGTTAATAGATTATTCATCATATCTTTCACGTACCTTACCAAGTCATCACAACCTAAATGGTTTAGAAATTAAAATGCTATATTACATTATATATATATATATATATATATATATATATATATATATATATATATATATATATATACTAACTAGAAAGGTTACCCCCGCTACGCGGGGGCCAGAAGCTTTCAATGTTGTTTCCGAATTGATAAATATGACAGACATAGAAAGTGCAAGGATGAAAAGTCCGGGCTTTGCCCCGGACAAAAAATGTAAAAGTTTTGACTGCAAGGACCAGAAGTGTGAAAATGGCTAAAGAATTAAAGGGGTAGGAATTAACAACTTTTTAGAAAAGTGATAAAAGTTGTCAAACCGTTAAAGTTTTGTGGCCAAACTTTAAATATTAACAGGTTCCAAAAAAGTGTAAAAATATTGATTGCAAGGACCAAAAGTGTCAAAATGGTTAAAGAATAATAACCAAAGTTGCCAAAAAACATCCAAATTTAGTATTCCTAACTTCCAACAATAATACAGGGACCAATTCTGCCAAAAAAATAAGAAGTTGAATGGAACACAAACAAAAGGACATAAATTAATTAATTAAAGAGTTTACTATTTTTTTCTTCCACAGTTTTAATATATATATATATATATATATATATATATATATATTATATATATATAATAATAATTAGAAAGTTTCAATAAACAATATCCTTGGGAGTTTTGGACTTGTGGACTTTTGCCGATAGTCTTTTTAATTTTGGAGTTTTGCCACAAACTTTTTAGATATTTGCAGATATAGGCGTTGTAACTTTGTAATTTACAAAAAGGTCTCTATAAGTTTTTTTTTCACAAAATAGTCCTTGTGTTTAACATTTTTCTATTTTGTGAGATTTGGCCCATGTGTAGAAAGTAAATTACAAAAATAGTCCTATGTCTAATTTTCTTCTAATAAAAGATAGAAAAAAAAAATATCTTGTAATTTTCGGCACTTCAAACAACTCAGAATTAGAAACTTTGAACACTAGAATATGGATTGAAATATTTTTCTTCCGAATTCAAAGAAATAGGATCATAAATTCAATAGAAATTTTTGGATTGACAAATTTTGCTTCTACAAGTCTGATTTCCTTCTAATTTTAAAATTCTTATTTCTTCATATAAAACAAATCTAAATTCAATAAAAAAGAAACATAAATTTAAGAAAAAAATTTGAATTCAAGATAAAAGAAACATAAATTATTATAATATCATATATGTATTAGATATATAAAATGTGTATAGTACCTTTTGATTGTAACAACCGTTAAATATTATATTATTTGGAAATATAATCGAAGAGACCAATGAAATCCTCAATTTATTTCAATAGCAAACGATTTTATAAAAATTATGATTTTATATTTATTAATTTATTTACAAAATTGGAATTAAAAATATAATCGTTTTTAACAAAAGTATTCTAAATGAAAGTTGTCGTACACGTTAATACCTACGCGTACATATAAAGAACGACGAAAACGGAGCTCGTATGAATAAGTTGATTTTTTGTATTTACTATTTAATATGTACTTTTTACAAATTACTATTATTACCCAATTACTATTAACCATCTTCTAAAAACATTTGTCATGATTACATCTTGAATACGTCATACTAGTTAATGGAGAATGTCAACATTTTAGCACTTATTATTAAAGATGTATATATAAATAGTAAATCTTACTAGTATAAATACGAGGCTTAAGTCACTCATTTCCTACACCAATCATCTCAATACTCTCTCGATATTCTAGTAGTTTAAGTCATGTTTTAGTCATAATTAGCTAGAAGCTAACTCTCAAGAAGTCGGTAGACGATTTTACCCGATAAGTTATTTTCAATAGTTCGTGTTGTTGTTCTGCAAAACGAGTGAGTTATCTCATTATATTATGTATTCCATTATGTCTTCATGTATTTTGTGTGTATCTATGTGTATATGTGTTATTATATTAATAGTAGTGTAGGGGTTGTTGGCGGAACGACGGTTGGGTCGGGAGCCTATAGACCCGAGTGTTGACGACGAAATGACAAGTAGGCCTTAAGTCAAAACACACTTATTAATGGTGGAATGAACAAAGTATGAGAGCCATTTGTTTGTTTATTAATGGTGGAGGGACAAACGTATGGGAACCTTTTGTGTAACATCCCAACTATTTCAACAATTTTAAACCGTTCAAAATAACCCTTTTACTAATAAAAATGTTTACAAAATTAGTGTTTCCAAAATATTATTTAAAAATTAGTGTTTCCAAAACATTATTTAAAAATAAGTGTCTCCCAAGATCAATGACCTAAAATCAAGACGTGCACGGTCACGTCTTCGCCTTGTCATGATCATCTGAAGTACCTGAAACAATAAACCAAAACTGTAAGCACAAAGCTTAGTGAGTTGCCCCAAAGTACCAACACACGAACATATAACATATACAAATAACAACATGCATATAAGGCCTTCAGCATGACTGGAACGCCCCACCGGCCTACAGACCATCTGGTACGCCACAGAGCCTTCAGTCTAACTGGAACACCCCACCGGCCTACAATCTATATGTTACACTCATAGAACCTTCAACATGACTGGTACGCCTCACTGGGCCTTCAGCCTATCTGGAACGTTCTCCAGGCCTTCGGCCTGACTGGTACGACCCCACTGGCCTTCAGTCTATCTGGGACGCCCTGGGTCTGCTTGCCTTCCGCACACAGCAGGACCGCCTCAACCCAACTACACACAACATATCCACACATACATATCCAAAACACATATAAACCCAGTAAACCATAGTGACATATCGATATAAACATTATCGGGTTTGTTGACTGAAAACACAGAGGAGTACAATCTCAACCCACCCACACCATAATGACATATACGCAACTAAACATATAACTAGTCATCAGACAATCAGGCAGATCTTGCAGATCACTAAGCATAACATCATCCTATTTACCAGGATACAAATCTAACAGACCACTGTAGAAAACCATCAAGCGATATACCAGGATACAATCTAATGGGTTGGCCATGGTGCCTTCGATCCAAAAGTACAGTAAGGAAGAATCACCTCAACAGCTGAACCTACGAATAAATCTCTGTCTGCAGATCCTCTAAAATCCACCTGCTATCAAACACCAATTGACAACCCATTAATAACTAGCTCCTGACTCACATCATGAGTCCAAATTAGGGTAAAAGACCTTTTTACCCTTCCCCAAACTTGGCCCAATGCCAAGGCCCAACTAGAACAAAAGCCCAAAATCCAAATTAAGCATCTAAGGCTCAAATATGGCCCAATTTTCCAAATTGGGCCCAATTCCTTCCATGGGCCTTCACCCAAGGAAATCCAATATATTCACAAAAGCCTAACCATAAAATCCAAATAGCCCAACATGGCCCAAGACAACCAAGCCCAAAACGAAAAAGTCCAAACTTGTTGAGTACGCGGGGGGTACTCAACCTGTACGCTCAGCGTCCTGCATGAAAGGCTTGTAGGTGCAGCGTACAAACTTGTATGCCCAACGTACTCACCAATCATGGCCAAATTTCCAAAATCAACTCTTAATCCATTAAGACTTTGATCCAAACTCAGATCTGACTTCCCCAAGGTGGTTAATCACATAAAGTTGCCAACTTTATTGTGCATGCATGGCTAAATGAGACTTTAGAGCTCAAAGGAGCTTAATACTTAACTTAATACATGCATGGGACCAAAACCACCATAAATTTATTGGATTAGGTGTCTAAGGCCATAACTATAATTGGTATATACTTAAATTGATAGTAGCACAACCTTTTTGGGTTGCCCTCAAAACTAGTAACTAGACATGATGACTTTTGGAAAGAGGTTGAATTTATTATTTGATTAATAATCTGAAATAAATGATTTATTAATGTATTTTGAAAATAATATGTTAATTAGAAATCATATTATTTAATTAATATTTAATCAGAAATTAATTTGGAATTAATTTTGGGATTAAAGGAATTAATTAAAAGTGCAGGGGCTGTTTGGCAATTTATTGATAGTTGAGGAATTGGGCTCTTGGACCTCCTAGATGGGTTGTACGAAATCTTCTAGGAATACCCTAGAAATTTCATCTGAGGGCCTCTTGGATGGAGTCTATCAGTTGCTTAGGCCTTAAGCTAAGGAATTAGGGTTTCCTCCAGCAAACCCTAGCTTTGGGTCTAAAATACCTCAACTATATAAGGAGCTGTACCCTGTCATGATTTCGGCCACTCTAACCCTAAGAAAGATAGCCAAAATTCTCACGTCTTCTCCTCCTATCTCCTCTATCATCCTCTTGCTAGTGTTGGGTGTGAACCATTAGAGGCACGACATTTGTGGTGCTTGCTCTCGAAGCTTCAACAACACTAAGGATTCCAATTTTTATTACTACAT